TAGTTTGTACAAACAGCTGGAAAGCTTAAAGAGGAAAAACAAGAACAGGTGTGATTTTTTGTTTTGAATATGAGCGTGGATGTGCATATGTTCAGTTGTTTGTCTTGGAGTGTGTTTTGCACAAGCTGGTTTTTTTAACAAATGTGCTCAACACATGTGCGCTCATTTGCTTAAGATAACCGTTGAGTTTGCACTATGTCATCTAAGCGTGCATATGTTTGTTATTGGAAAATCCCATAGATTGATTTTTCCTCAGAGGAAAAGCAAGAGACAAACTGGTGTGCTTTTGGAGTAAAGAGAGAAAGCGGAGAAACAGGAACGGTGTTCGGTGTGTGGGTAGGCATAATTTGGAAGGACAATAAAAAACAAACTCAACAAAATACAGCATTGCCCAAACATGCTAGAAAACAAAAGAGAAAAGAAAAAAAAACCGCACCTGGATATACATTCGTGAGTTTGCAAAAGCGATAGGAAACACAATATAATCTATTTTATGGAACGCCTGTACAGTGTGGATTTCCGCCAATCCTGGAGAATCTGCGCAAAGAAAACCCCCTGGTAATGGAGGAGCTCTTCATCCTTATCAATGAACCATTTTCACAGACGCCAGGAGCCAGACACTGAATAGCAAAGTGAACGTTTCATTGTTGTTGCTGTTGTTTTTAAGGCAGAAATTTCACGGTATCCTCAGGGATGGGCTTTACTTTTTCCGAGACTTGTTTTTTGTGTGAGTGATAAGGGGGTGGGGTTGTTCATTTGTTTTTCTATTTTCTTGTTGCTGTTTGTTTCTTGGGGGTGTTGTTGTTTAGATATGAGTTTTACGGCGTTCGCAACTGCATAAAGTCATGTAAGCGCTGATATTTGATTTTGTGATATTTTTCTGGGTTGTTTTTTTTTTAACGAAAATGTCGAACACCTTTAACAAAGTCATATTATGCCAGATGGGTGGGTGTCCTTAAAGGATTTTAATTTCCACGAAATCTGCTGTAATAGAATCTTTTAAAAAGTGAGTTCCGTGATGTGAAAGCACGCGAGAAATTAATTTATGACATTAAAGCCAATATTATTATAACTTTTTTGTTTTTTTTTATTTATTTATTTATTAATTATTTTTTTTACGGCAGATAGACATGTCTGTCCATGTAACGTCTTTTTGGCCTTCGT